CCCTATAGGACTGTGTGAGGGATATTTTTAGCATCACGCACCAAGTTTTTTTTTCTTACACGCTGTGTTTCTGTTGGATTTTGCAGTCTGAAATCCATTGTCTTTTCAGGGCCTTCATCTCGCAACCTTGGTCTACATGCTGATTCTTTATAAAACAAAAAAAGACTAGAAATCATTGTTGAGTTCCTCACATATCTCTCTATCATTTCCTGTGAGAGTTCCCTCCTTGTCTCCTCAATCTGTCTACTTGGTCTGACACTTGTTATTTATTATTTAATATTTAAATAATATATTATTTGTATTTACTATTTGTGCCTGCAGGATTGAGCTGTTTACTCTTGGACCCCGCCTCTCTAACCGTCGGCGTGTGTGTGTGTGTGTGTGTGTGTGTGTGTGTGTGTGTGTGTGTGTGTGTGTGTGTGTGTGACGGGGTGGGGGAATGTCTCATGCCACCCCATCCCCACCACCTGCCCACCCCATCCCCACCACCTGCCCACCTCATCCCCACCACCTGCCCACCCCATCCCCACCACCTGCCCACCACCTGCCCACCTCATCCCCACCACCTGCCTACCAGTAATGACCAGTGTGATGAGGCAGCAAAAGGTGCCCGGGGAGGTGGCCGCAGCAGGCAGGGCGGCCCCTCACAACACACAGCTTCCCACACCAACATTTTTAACACAAGTGGGACATTTTTTCAGTGTTAATAATTCCACGGCTCGTGAAGGTTTTTGTGGGGAAGCGGACAGTATAATTTTTCTAGAGATCGCTGCTGTATATTTTAACAACACAAGCTTGCTAAAATTAGCAACTGATTAGTTAGTGTAGGAACATTAATATGATTTCATTACAGGATTTATATGACGTTGGAGGTTAATGATCATTCATGATTTTCTGAGTATTTTTATTGTTTTTCTGAGTATGTCTCATGTATATATGGAGGACCTCACCAGGCGGACCAACTGACCTTCCTCCAGGATGAAACTCCACAACAGTTAACTAGCTCCAGGTACCTATTCACTCTACACACAGAAATCACAATAACGTGATGCATCAAATGAACAAATCCACAAGGGCCGTGACGAGGGTTCGAACCTGCGTCCGGGAGCATCCTCGTCACGGCCCTTGTGGATTTGTTCACCTATTTACTGTATATTCTGTAATCTTTACCGCCGCTTCATTCTCGGCCGGGAATGGAACCCGGATCCTTAGGACTACGACCCCAGAGCGCTATGCTATCCACTCAGCCGCGAGGCCTCTCTCGCGGCTGAGAAGTTGTGGAAGCCACCTCCGTCCAGAACTTTAAGGCCACATTCCGCAAAGAATCTTCGACTCCAGAATTTTTAATTTCAAATGTAACAAGTACAATAGGGCTAGTAGACGAGACAGCCAGACCTCACTTCTCCGTAGACGGTGTTAGGTAAGCAGTACCACCACTAACCCTACCCCCACCACTACCCCCTATCTCCACCACTACCCCCCCTACCACTAGCCCCTCTTCCCCCACCACCAACAACACTACCAGTGTACAATACACGCTGGGGTCCTACAGAGGGTTGGGGTGAAATATTCATATATCACTTCTCCCTACTTAAACCAACCTCCGCACATTGGCTGGTGCACACATTAGAGAGGGGAGAGGAGGGGAGTGTCTGCCGCACCTGCTGGGGGAGGGGGAGGGTGCAGGTGGGTGGGGGCGACGGTGTAGCCGCCCTCCTGAATGTTCTTACACTCCAGCGAAGGCATTCAGGAGACGCCACAGGCCACACGCGGCTCACAGCACCGAGTGAGGGCTAGGGAGAAGGAACCAGGTATACAAGGAGAGGGAGCATGAAGGTAAAGGAGTAAGGTGGGGAAAGATAAGGCTGGGTAAGGGAGTCTAATCACCAGCCCTGGCTATAAGCCGCCCGACTCTGCAGCCTCGTTAAACACAAGCGATTTGAGAGGTAAGTAGCGTAGGGGCGGGGGTGAGGTGTTTGACCTGGTGACAAGGGGAGCTGGTAGAGGGGAGACAAGGGGTCAGTAACGGCACAACGGTACGACAAGGGGTCAGTAACGGCACAACGGTACGACAAGGGGCCAGTAACGGCACGACAAGGGGTCAGTAACGGCACAACGGTACGACAAGGGGTCAGTAACGGCACAACGGTACAAGGGGAGGGGCGGCACACGTTGCCACGCACTGAGGGGAAGTTATATGAGTGTCAGTGATTTGAGTAAGAGCAGGTTAATGATGAGGGGGAATATAAGAGCGGAATGAGAGAGGGGAGAGGGCGAGGGTAGCTGATGGTGACGAGGGAGAGGAGGGGATACCAGTGACGTGGGAGAGAGGGGACACCAGTGACGTGGGAGAGGGGGACACCAGTGACGTGGGAGAGAGGGGGACACCAGTGACGTGGGAGAGAGGGGACACCAGTGACGTGGGAGAGGGGGACACCAGGGGCGTGGGAGAGAGGGGGACACCAGTGACGTGGGAGAGAGGGGACACCAGTGACGTGGGAGAGGGGGACACCAGTGACGTGAGAGAGGGGGACACCAGTGACGTGGGAGAGAGGGGGACACCAGGGGCGTGCAGGGAGGCTGGTGTTGAGGGCGTGGCGTCCAGGGACCCGGGAAGGTGCCCGCCTCATCCCCTCTTGTGTCACTTTATCAAATTACTTCTTTATTGATTGATGTCACTTCTAACACAGGGTTTGTGTCTCGTTACTCCGGCCAGTGTTAGTTACCAGTGTTGTTTGTGGTGCCTTGTGGTGCTGGGGGACCGGTGTGACGGTGTGGTGGCAGGTGGTGGTGGCAGGTGGTGAGGGTAGAGGGCAGGTGGTGGTGGTGGCAGGTGGTGGTGGCAGGTGGTGGTGGTGGCAGGTGGTGAGGGTAGAGGGCAGGTGGTGGTGGTGGCAGGTGGTGGTGGTGGTGGCAGGTGGTGAGGGTAGGTGGTGGTGGCAGGTGGTGAGGGTAGAGGGCAGGTGGTGGTGGCAGGTGGTGAGGGTAGAGGGCAGGTAGTGGTGGTGGCAGGTGGTGAGGGTAGAGGGCAGGTGGTGGTGGTGGCAGGTGGTGAGGGTAGAGGGCAGGTGGTGGTGGTGGCAGGTGGTGGTGGCAGGTGGTGGTGGTGGCAGGTGGTGAGGGTAGAGGGCAGGTGGTGGTGGTGGCAGGTGGTGGTGGTGGTGGCAGGTGGTGAGGGTAGGTGGTGGTGGCAGGTGGTGAGGGTAGAGGGCATGTGGTGGTGGCAGGTGGTGAGGGTAGAGGGCAGGTGGTGGTGGTGGCAGGTGGTGAGGGTAGAGGGCAGGTGGTGGTGGCAGGTGGTGAGGGTAGAGGGCAGGTGGTGGTGGTGGTGGTGGCAGGTGGTGGTGCTGGCAGGTGGTGGTGGTGGCAGGTGGTGAGGGTAGAGGGCAGGTGGTGGTGGTGGCAGGTGGTGAGGGTAGAGGGCAGGTGGTGGTGGTGGCAGGTGGTCAGGGTAGAGGGCAGGTGGTGGTGGTGGCAGGTGGTGAGGGTAGAGGGCAGGTGGTGAGGGTAGAGGGCAGGTGTTGAGGGTAGAGGGCAGGTGGTGGTGGCAAGTGGTGGTGGCAGGTGGTGGTGGTGGCAGCGTGATCAATACGCCCTCACTGGCCACGGAGGAACCATTACACACTGACAGTAGCGATGCCGGGATTGCAATTTGTCAAGAACATGAGGAGAGTAAATTGATAGTGTTTCCTGCGAGGTGTGTGACGGGGAGTAATGAGGAGCCTTATGAGGGTCACTGTATGTGTGGTGAGGTCACGGGTCCTCAGTCACCTCATGAATGTTAGTCTTGGTGTGTGTGTGTGTGTGTGTGTGTGTGTGTGTGTGTGTGTGTGTGTGTGTGTGTGTGTGTGTGTGTGTGGTGTGTGTGTGGTGTGTGTGTGTGTGTGTGTGGTGTGTGTGTGTTTGTATGATTACCATTACACCCAAGAGTGTAGTGTCACTCACAGCGTAACTTCCCCCCACCCCCCTACACCCTGTGTATTCACTATACACCGGCTCATGTATACTCATTTAAACATAATCCATTATTTATAAAAGCTTCTAATTTGTTTGTTTTAACTGTATTATTTATTCCTCCTTCCAAAGTGCAGGAACAGGGGTCTTCCTAGAACACTATGCCTATGGTGCTTTACCTCCATGGCCGCCCAGTACAGTGTGGGGTACACGTGGGCGAGCATTGAAGGGATTCGAACTGTGATGGTTCTGGCTTGCGAAATAAATGGGAGAAAACAGTAAGGCCACATCCCTACACCACAGGTTGCTATTACTAATGTTACTGTTGCGTCACTTTCTGTTTGGCAGGAGGCTGAGAGAGGAGGCTCGTGTGACGTTTTGGAGAATATAGTCAATAGATGGCGCTCTCTGAACGCTCCTCTCATACACATGGAAACTTTAGCATCATCGGAACCTCTCATGGATTATTAAGTATGGGTGTCACTTAAGCAACCTTTTAAAGTGTGTGTGTGTGTATTTACTACTGGTTCTTGCAGAAAGGAGCTATTAGCTCTTGGACAAGGCCTTTTTAACCAATCTCTTTTACTCTGATGCCGCTATATATATTTTCTTGTGTGTGTGTGAGCGTGTTCACATATATATTTACATGAGCACACTTTGTTCCTATGGCTCACAAAACGGAAGATAAATTATTGATTGGAATATACCCCCTTCTCCCATTGGACACCAAGCAGAAGATAAAGGTGGCAATCTACGCTATAAGAGAGGACGTCTGTCTGTCGGTCCAAAGGTGGAGGCCAGATTCTTGGAGCAAGACTCACCGAACTTTGTAGGAGGACTGATGTGGGGTATGGGACGGTCAGAGGCTGGTCGGGGTAGACCCAGGTTACTTAATAACTCTCCCGACAACAAGACAAATGTCGTGAAAGAGACGAATGTCATCTATGCCTTCAGATGCCGTGATGGGACACGACAGACAGGTCAGGTGTGGATCAGGTCAGGTGTGGAACAGCTCAGGTGTACTAACAATGACTCCCTCCCCGCAGGTTTGGTGAAGCTGGGTGTGCAGTGTGTGTCCGGCAAGAGAGTAGCAATTAAGATTATAAACAGAGAAAAATTAACCGAATCCGTTTTACAAAAGGTAAGTGCAAGTCTCCCGTTGTTTACTGTTAACGGCACATATCAACCGTTGTTTACCCTTAAGGACTCTTAGTGCTATATAGTCGTAATGGCTTATCACTTCCTCCTCATAGTTAGCTTGCCTTAAGGGTTCTGCAGGAGTACCATTGACCCTGGCTCCCTTGGGCTGTAGGTCACGCGGCACTGTGAGGGCCACGTCCACCAGTGCCATCACTCGACGCCCTGGTGCACGGTTGTATAGAGCCTCCCACCTTCACCACGGTGGTAGGTCACAGTACCGTGCACCTGGCGGTGGTGGTGAGTCACAGTACTGTGCACCTGGAACATGGCATCATGGACACACATTTAACTTGTCCAAAAAAATACCGAGTGAAATATATAGCTTCAAGTGAGGCAGATGGATGGAACTCCGCTCAAGCTTGCACCCAGGACAAGCTTTACACACACACACACCACACACACACACACACACACACACACACACACACCACACACACACACACACCACACACACACACACACACACACCACACACACACACACACCACACCACACACACACACACACACACCACACACACACCACACCACACACACACACCACACACACACACCACACACACACACACACCACACAGCAGGAGAGGCCAACGCTGCGCAAGCTTTACATACGCTACACACACTAACTAATCACTCCCACAATCCTGAAAAAAATGTAATTACAAGAACGAATATTTAACTTCGTGGTAATTATTATTTTTTTGTAATCCAGACTTGGAAATGTGTTTTTGTTGGCTGCCAACCTGGGTGATTGTAGTGGCCACTCTCACTGGTGATTGTTGGCGGTCCGTACTGGTGATTGTTGACAACCTGTACTGGTGATTGTTGACAACCTGTACTGGTGATTGTTGACAACCTGTACTGGTGATTGTTGACAACCTGTACTGGTGATTGTTGACAACCTGTACTGGTGATTGTTGACAACCTGTACTGGTGATTGTTGACAACCTGTACTGGTGATTGTTGACAACCTGTACTGGTGATCATTGGCGACCAATACCGGTGACTGCTGTTCACTCCAGTAACTGGTTGTAAACCGGTTGTCCTCTAGTGCTGTATCCTGCAGGGGATACATACTGCCGTATCCTTGTTGCGCTGTATCCTTCAGAACAGGAATTATACCCAATACGTCAAAAAGTTTTTACAAAAAATCGATCACTGTGCCGAAAATACGACGCGTTAGTACAAATTTAAGCACCGTAATTTCAACGTTTTCTTGGGTTCGTAGCTTCTTGGTTAGGCAATACGGCCGCTTGTTGCATCAACGAAGGACGAAGGTCATCAACGTTGATGTATGTACGTTATGAAGGCAGGGGGGGGGAGCAGGGTAGGGGGCAGGAGTAAAGGACGATGCCAACATTGTGTACAAGCCAGCATACAAGGGGTGGAGGGAGAGTAAGCAGGGGGTGGTGGGAGAGTAAGCAGGGGGTGGTGGGAGAGTAAGCAGGGGTGGTGATGGGAGAGTAAGCAGGGTGGTGATGAGAGAGTAAGCAGGGGTGGTGGTGGTGGGAGAGTAAGCAGGGGTTGGTGGTGGTGGGAGAGTAAGCAGGGTGGTGATGAGAGAGTAAGCAGGGGTGGTGGTGGGAGAGTAAGCAGGGGTGGTGGAAGAGAGCAGGCGCACACATGGAGCACAGGTGTGGGGTAATGAACTTACATATATTTACATAATCTACAAGCTCCCAGCGTTGTATACTCACTTACCCCTCTGGTGTATGTATTATCATGGGGGAATATAGAGAGGTTGACGCCCAGGGGAGCTGGTCACGCCTCACACGCCACCGTGTACAGTGACGGGAAGGCTTCAGTAATAACATTGTATTTATGAAAGGGAACTATCACGAGAAAGGGCCAAACCATTTCGACTATAATGCACTTGGAAGGGGTTAGGATAAGGACTTGGGATGGGACGGGGGGAAGGAATCGTGCCTAACCATTTGGATGGTCGGGGATTGAACGCCGAGCTGCATGAAGTGAGACCGTCGCTCTACCGTCCAGCTCAAGTGGTTGGACAAAGAAAGCTGGAATAGTCCCCCAAGCCATACATCACTTAAGAACTCTAACCCGACTAGGGTTCGAACCTGCATTATCAGTGCTCGCTCCCCTGGCGTACACAGTATCATAACCACTTCACCAACAATGTCATAATTGTTGGTGCCACCTGGCACCTCTAAGACGCACTGTTGGTTTACTGGTCGCTTCCCTAGTTACTGTTATCATGGCTCTACCTGTAACATTATTAATATGGAGCATTGTGTGTCTCCCGCCTCCAGTTTGATGGTCATCTTTGCTTCATCAAACTCTTTTAAGGGTATAATATGAATTTATTGCGAGGTTAAGAACGCAGATTATTTGTTAATGTATCTAGGGAGCCGGTCGGCCGAGCGGACAGCACGCTGGGCTTGTGATCCTGTGGTCCTGGGTTCGATCCCAGGCGCCGGGGAGAAACAATGGGCAGAGTTTCTTTCACCCCTATGCCTCTGTTACCTAGCAGTAAAAATAGGTACCTGGGTGTTAGTCAGCTGTCACGGGCTGCTTCCTGGGGGTGGAGGCCTGGTCGAGGACCGGGCCGCGGGGACACTAAAGCCCCGAAATCATCCCAAGATAACCTCAAGAATCTCAAGATAAGATCTGTCAATGTATCTGACACCAAGTATCCCATACAGGGTCTGTTAATCCCAGCTCATCCTCCTTAACTGATTGTACATATAGTAACGATGTAGTTGATAATACAAACATGTCGTGATGGACCACCAGAAAGGACACATTTGTATTGTTGAGTTTGGACAAACGGGAAAAGTTTGTAGATTTATTTTACTAATTAAATCTAACTATCTTAGGCTCAATAGAAGCTATCTGAGGTCTGTATAGCACATATATGTGCTATATAGGCCTAGGAATAATAAAGTTTGATTTTAATCTATATTTTTCCGGACTCTGTAAAAAAAGTACAAAAAGTGTCATACTGGGGCTTCATTACTACATATTGGTCCGATCGACCACATGGTTACAAAAAGTACTATTATTTCAGGAGGCTGGGATGGTAATCCGCTGATATTAGTGGAGAGGCGGAGGGTGTTGCGGAGAGTGTGGGGCAGCGAGGTGCTGGCCCAGGGCTACTGAGGTCTGGAGCATCCTCATGCTGCTGCTCCCTCACACCCCACACACCCAGCACGGAGGCTCACAGAGAGATGAGCCTCAGATGGGGAGGGAGGGAGAGAGGGCGGGAGGGGGGGGGGAGAGAGAAGCAGGGAAGGATGGTAGTTCCAAGAAGAGTAAAGGTGGAAGCAACATGATAAGGACACAGAGTATGAAAGGCAACCTGTGGGAGACACTGGAGAACTCTCTCCATTATTCATACCAGATGCGCTAGTTGAGGGGAGTCTTCAGCCCAGGCCCAAGCCTCGCTCCTCTGCTCCCCACATACTCTCTCTCTCCTCAAGTCCCACAGCTGGGCCTCGCTCTGCCTCCTCCACCTCCGTCACTCTCAGACTCGAGCACCGCTCCTCCACCTCTTAACAGGCGTACTCGCTCAGCGCCTCTTGAGCCTGCGGTCTGCTCTACTCACTCCTTCCCCTCACATCCTCTCCACTTCCCCTCATGTTAACAGCGTCTTGGCGTGGCTGGTAGGCTCGAGCTACGCCCACCACTCTGAGGCCAGTTGAGGTGGCTTATGAACTCCTTGTAGTGGACAGAGGAGAAGCAGCAGTCTTAGATGTTGTCGTGCATGACGCTTCAAGGGCTGCCGTGCGCCCATATGTGCCGTACATATGTGCCAGGACTGCCGTGCTCCTGGAGCACAAGAGCAGGGCGCGGTGTAGTTGGTAAAAAGGGTCAAGGTGGCACCTCAGAGTGAGTATCCCATCAGTCTATGGAATACTGTTCATGTCCTCATGTGCTAGCCAGGTATTCTTGTGCCACACCTTGCTGAGCTGTGTGGTGACTACGGCGGCAGGGAAGTGAAAGCTTAGTTACATTCCAGGGCGTTGTTGTGGTGGCCAATCATACCCACGATAAAATGTTTGAGACAAAGCCCTGGGGGACCTGTTGGATAGAAGAGCTTTGTCCACTCCTGTTGGAGGTCATGCGCTGCAGTATTGCCAGGGATATATGATGAGGGAAAGCTAATCTAGGCAATGGACAACTTTGAAGTTAATTGTCCTTTTAAATGAGATGTTCAAAATTTCGATGGTTTAAGCTTAATTGAAATGTCATCAGAAAAGAGCTGTGGCTCGTCTTCAAATGATGTGAAAGCACTGTGGTCTTAATTATTGTAATTGACATCATTTCATTATAATTATATTTCTTGTAATTATATCAATATACTGAGCAAGGTGTTTCCGTACTGCTCCAGGACAAACGTTGTGACCTAAGATAACACAAAACAGCTTCATCCTGGCAGAAGTATGAGGCAGCGAGGTGCCGAGTGGTGGGTCCTGGCCACCTGCCACCACTTACTGTGGAGTGTGATTACTTGTGTTGTGCACAGATTATTCTCTGGGTATTGAAAGAGAAGCGTCAGAGGTAGAATATTCCTAGATGACAGCGCCAGAGTGCGAGTGTGTGAAGATCCTGTTCCTGCTTCAGTAGAAGCCTCAGGAAATCATTGTGTGTGCGTTTCAGAACAACTCCAAGTTACAATCCTTTTCCATGTCGTGGTCTAGTCGCTAGAGTGCGCGTGGGAACACCCACAGCATAGGTTCGAATTCTCATCACACCTCCTACGGCTTTTCTCAATGGGATTAGTGCCCCCAGCTCCCCCTCCCACACATGCCAGGCGAACACGGACATAATTAAGCAACTTGTCCTTCCCTTCAATTGTTGACTGGAACTTGGTTGACTGTTGTCACTACCAGGCTGGACGGTGACAGCACCACCATCACTCACGCCCCTCTTCCCTGCACACTTTTTTTTTAGAACCCTACATGTTTTTTTCCTGGAACAG